ATGGGGCATGTAGTACGCTGTATCTCCAAGCCAAGCCACCGTTGAAGCAAGTCTCTGCGCCTGCGCCATGGTGTTGAGGGTGCCGTCTGCAATGAGCGGAGCAACTCGAAAGAGGATCATAGCGGATGGCTTCATTCAGCGTTTCGAATCTTGGGGCGATGGAATGTCGTCAAATTTGTTGAGGCGGAGCACAGGCCAATTGGAAGGTTTTGTTTGTAGTGCTGTGCTTCAAGGCAGGCGCATCCCGGGTCTGTCCACGCCAGGCTTTTCCACTGCAGGGCCCGGGCAGAGATTGCTCGGGCAAAGTACAAGCTCTCGCAGGTGCTTGAGGAGCTAGGAGACGCCAACACGAAGTGGTCTCGGATCAGACTCGAAGCAGTCAGCATGCTACGAGAGTTGACAAGCCAAGAACTAGTCGATGCCCCTTGCGAGGCTGTCTTTGGCAACTGTATCGTGTATTTTCTTCGATGAGCACACATCGCGAACGACATTGAACCGACCGCAACTACGACCAAACTTGTCACATTTGACAAGGCGCCTATTTCGAGTTGATACCAGTGAGATCCCCTCTCAGAAGTGTTACACAAAACTCATTTTAATGTGTTTCATTACCATCAAGTCCCACCCGGTGATGACCCGTTCCTTTACCCGCCAAGCAGTGGGGCCATCCGAGCGAGGCAAGGTAGTATTACCAGCCGGTCATGCACGGGTCCGGCATCGACTATTGATTCTTGGTAGTTTATATTTACGTACTAATTCGCATATTTAGTTCATCTCCCTTCCCATTTCCACCACCACCCCCCAACATCACCAACCCTCCGAGTTCAACCCCAATCACCAACCTCAACCAGAAGGGAACATGCGTCCCTCACTCACCCTCCCCTCCCTCCTCCTCTGCACCATACCCCCCGCCCTCGCCTCCCTCCAACCGCTCTTCGCCCTCCCCGGCCCTCCCCTCCCCGGCTCCTGGTTCGAAAACCTCGCGGTGCGTCCCAACGGCGCCATCCTCGCCACCCGCGGCGACGCCCCCGAAATCTGGCAAATCGACCCCTCCACGCGCACCGGATCCCGCCTGGTCTCCGTCGAAGGCGCCTTCAATCTCACGGGTATTTCCCAAGTCGACACCAGCGCGCGCCAAGGAAAAGGTAAAGGTAAAGGCAAAGGAAAAGGCAAGGGCAAGGGCAACGACGACGATGACGACGACGGAGACGAAACATATGTTTTCGCCAGCGCGTACATCCCCGCGCCTTTCCAAGTCGGGCCCGGAAGCGCAAAGGTGTGGACTCTCACTTTTACGAGCACCGGACCGAGCGTGAGCCTGTTGAAGGCCCTGCCCGAAGCAGGGTTCCTGAACGGCCTAACGGCATGGGACACCGGACGCGTCCTCATTGGGGATACCCTCGCTGAGTCAGTCTATCTCATCGACGTCGAGACGGGAGTGCACACCACGCCGCTGGTGAACATGTCTGGGGTGAATGGAGTGCGCGTGGCGAAGGCGGAGCCGGGGGTTGTCTACTGGGCGAATCACAACGACTTGACGCTGCGCCGGGTGAAGACGGACGGGAATGCGGTTCCTACTGGGGCGGTGGAAGTGCTGGCGGGGAATCTCACGGGGATTGATGACTTTGCGTTGCAGGTTGGGAAGAGCGGGAAGGTGGAGAAGGCGTATATTGCCGGGTTGACGGGGAATGATGTGGTGGAGGTTGTGCTGGGGACAGGCGCGAAGAGGGTTGTTGGGAGTGATTTGACAGGAACGGGCGCGGGGTTGGTCACGGCGGTGGTGTTGGGAAGGAGGAAGGAGGATGAGAAGGTGTTGTATGCGTCAGCTGGTCAGGGGGGCGAGACTGATAAGGCGAAGATTGTGGCTATTGACTTGAGATAGAGGCTGAGCTCAGGGGCTGTTTACTTCATGAGCGAAGGTTACACGATGCTGACTTGGATTTGTACTGAGGAAGAGAAAGAAACATGCAAGTGAACAGACGCTGTCAGCCCTCCACCAGAATGCCAAAGTTCTCAAGGTCCTCCAGGCTCTGGTAGAGCCCGTCCCGGATGGGTTCCAGATAGTTGTAGTCCGTATTGATCGTCGCCATGTCCTCGCTGCTGAAGTCTGGGCTGACTTGAATCACGAACCCCCTCGGGTTGTCTTCCGGCGTTTCGGGGTCTGCACTTGTGTCAGTGAACTAGCCCGAAATATCCAAGCCTACCCGGTTTCTTTGCAAACAGAATGTAAAAGGGTCGAAGGAGGTCTGTAACTTACACCCTCTCACCGGAGCGTCTCTCGGGCCTTCCCACCTGTTTCGATGCCACATCTGACTCATGAAAACTTCGTTGGCGCCACGCAAGGTCGACCCGTCCGGTCCATGCTTTGGTCTGCTCGAGTGGAAAGACATCAATCCGATGATGACAGGCAGGTCCCCGGCAAGGCCCTTCGATCTCCTGTTCTCGTGGCGATACGTGTTCTCGAACACCTTGGGGACGAGCGACGGAATCCAGCTGGGGTTCTTCCCGGAAACAAAAGGCACTCCGGTTCTCGTTGAGTTGATCACGGAGACGCCATTGTCTCGGTCGGTGAAATGCGGCATGCGCCACGTGTAGCGCTCTTGATCATCATCGTCGTCTGGGTTCAAGGACTGCCTGTCGCACCCGTCGCGACAGTTGGTGCTCAAGAGGCTGCCGAGGGAGGCGTCGCCGTTCAGTGTGATGATGGGCAGGTGTGCAGAGCACGCAAAGACGGATTCTGTCTTGTACGGCTCAGGCACCCAGGTGTAGTTAGATGCTGGGTCGTAAAACGTGATGCGCCCCTCGTATCCGGGAGCCTCTCGAACCCATTCATAGCCTTGCGCAACGGTGACGATACCAGAGCGGTAGCGGAATACAGTGCCCTTGTATTCCTTGACGTATGCGGCCTGGCTCGTGGGCGGTATTGAATTGAGCCATTGGTCCCTCTCCTCGTGGTTCAACTCAAAGTTGATCTTCCACTCATTCACGCAGAACAGGAAAGAGACGTCTGGGGCCGTGCTTTTGCCCTTGCTCGAGGAGGAGCTTGTTTTGGAAACACTGGGTCCCTTGGAGCCACTCTCCTTGCCGTGCTTGTGGGATTTGTGGGAGGAATTGGTGTTGATTTGAGCGGCGTAATACGTGTTCTATCCAGCTGTTAGAGACATATGACGTATCGGGGTGGGAGAGTCTTACACTGGACGAGGTCATGATGGTAGAAGTCAGGGGTCGTAGATCGGGGGGTAAAAGGGGAAATGTTGAGTCCAAGAAAGTCGGGTGTTTTGGCGATGGTGGTAATGATGATGATGATGATGATCACAGTGTATCTCGGGGCTGGGGCACATGGAAGGACGGGTAATATATGTCAAGAATCGCATGACAACTTCTCTTCTGACGCAACTTCACCTTCCCACACCAACGGGTGTTGGGCATGCAACCATCCCTTCGACGACCCAGACGCAGACAAGCTCACACCGTCGGGCTGCCATGAGCGCATCATACGGAAGGTGTCGGGCACTGCCTAATCTCACAATAGCTTCGTCGACGGACTGTCGCGAAAGCGAAGAGTCCGTCCCGCGTATCGATCCTCAGCTCCTACTTGTCCCACATCCCGTCTGTCACGGGTCCCAACCTTGACTCACCGCCACGGTTGGATTCCCCAGAAACTAGATTTCCAGCTGTTAGAGCAAAAGACGGGGAAAACACAAAGCTCACTTGGTAACCAACAAGGACTTGACAACTCCGAGGACGCCCTCAGCTGCGGGCATGGCATCGCCCTCATCCTTGGCCCAACGTGTCGGTTGTTTCCGGCATCCGTCCGTCAGATGCAGCGAGCATGCACCCCATCTAGTCTCCGAGACGAACCCAGAGATTGGGGTGCAGCGAACCCGGGATGGCTCAAAAAAAAGATGGGACCAATCAGGGGCACACCTTTGCTTTGGGAATCCAAACCGACAGCATGCGGTGCGACCTGGAATAAAGCCCAACTCCTTTATCTGCGAGCCCGAGAATTGCACAGTGCCATCGATCCGAGATGTCGAGAACTTGGGATGATATGATGTCCGAAATTCCTGTCTGGGTAGGGCGGCTAGAGAAGGGTTTGCTGCCTCAAGCGGACAAGCTGTCGCCGAGCCGAGCAAAAGGGAGGGTGAGACGACAGATTTTGTGATCAACGTGGATCTTGTCATCGACAGCGAGCGCCCTCGCGGTGCATGATGATGCAGCGGTGAGGGCATTCCTAGGAAAAGCGCCACGGGATGGAGGGTTGGAAACAGCGTGGGTGGTAAGCTCCGGATGGCTCGGCATTGCCGTAATTGATCATCCGCCTTTGGCGACGCTCAGGCTGGCGGCAGACGCAGTGCGTTGGGTTGTCGCGGTTTGGGCAGAAGGATCACCCGAACAGTCGCTCCTGCCGTGGGTGTTGATATCGTGCAGTGGGTGGAGCTCAAGTTGTGGCTGCCATGTGACTGGCAGCAGACGTGACAGCAGGGACCCTTCGACGGCCGCGTTCTCCCACACGGCATCTCCCGATCGCCCGCAGTTTTCCGTCATATTTCATTCTTGACTGCCGTCACACAGCGATGTACCTGCATGTGAGGGGAGCTGGTCAGGACCGATGCCGGACTCCTCATCATAGCAAGGTCACGTTCTGCTCCACTCTCTTCTGGTATTCTCCAAGTCGCGAGTAACACCGAAATGCAGATTATGTGATGAATTGTGTGACGAACTGGCATATCGAGGAAGGGGCGCTGGCAGATGAGCCCTGAACCCAGTTGTCGACCTCGGTGCAGGAAAGGGGACCCGGGCTTCGCCTAGCACGTTGCGCCCGTCTCAGACAAAATGCCCGATCAAACAGAATTCCACTCAATGCGTTCACTTGTTACAGAGAAGAGAGCTCGCCGTGCTTTGCAGCAAATCCTGCTGAGGTGTGCATGTGACAAAAGAGACTCCTGAACCCCACCATGGTTGGGTTGGGGGACCTGGGGGCAAAACGCAAAAAGTAATGACAACTGTGAGATTCGAACTCACGCCACTTTCGTGAGTAGAATGTAACCCCTTTAATAGGGCAAAGAATGCTAATTCTTGAGTCTACCGCCTTAACCGCTCGGCCAAGTTGCCTGTTTTATGCGCAATTTAGGTGAAAAAGAATTATATAGATACACGCCAGCTGCAGAAAACGATCGCGGCACCACAGCGTGCTGTTCCTGTAACGCAACCTCTGCTTTTTATTATTTAAACGATAACAATAACTAAACATTCTGATAAAGATTCTTCTCTGTGTTTGCTCTTATTGTTTTACCTAGGGTAGATACCACAGCTGTGGTGAAAAAACCACGGACTTGGCGGCAACTGGCCTTGATGTGTCCTGGAAACAAGCCTTTGCAACACACAAAACACACCCTTCCGCAACAAAAGAAACACACCACCAAATGAGCCCATCAGACCGCCAATGAGGTTATCGGTGGTTTATATAAGCTCCGCAGTCCGGGGTACTGCCGCGCGGAGTGGTATTGTCCGTAATAACTTACTCCTCATACCCCTCAGCAAGTGAGGAAGGCGCGCCTCGGTCAGGGGAAAGTGCACCGGGAGGCAATCCCTCCCCAGTGGAACGCGCACTCCCCGCATGCAAGGTACAAGCCGCGGATACGTTCTCGAAGCTTAGAATCCCACGTTGCTGTTGAGCCGCCGCTGTCACGGTTTAGGCTGAGTGCTGCGATTGGTGCCGTATATTGTCCAGAGGCACGATGCGGGGCGTCTTATACGTCTCCAGCTATGACCTACGGCAGATCGAGAAACACCATGGCAAGGGCGCGACAAGACCCCAACGGAATATATATCCCCGACAATGGCCATTCACCGCGCCATTGTCAACGAGAAGCTCCCACCTCATCCCCACTTCCCCTACCCCTACCCCTAACCACCAAGTGCAAAACATCCAGACTCCTCAAAAAATGCACGCCCTCCTCCTCCTCGCCACCGCCGTCCCGGCCCTCGGCGCCGAATGCACCCGCGCATTCCTCAAATCCGCCGCAGACAACCTCGTCGCCGCCCAAACCGCCGGTGACCCCTCCCTCCTGACGGCCCTCCTCTCCAGCGCCCCCGCAACCATCTACCAGCAAAACGAAAAGCCATCCACCCTCACCACCGGCATCCTCACCACGGCCATCAAGCCCGACCACACCCGGCACGTCCTCGACACGACCCAATGCGCCACCTACACCGAGTACATCTCCGCTACGGGCGCCAAGCCCTACGTCAACGGCTTCCAGCTGTGGTTCAACGCCAACCTGACCCTGACCAAGATCGACGCCTTGACCACCACCACCGGCGACTGGCTCTTCAACGCCACCGGCACCCTCAACTGGGCCAGCAAGGAGAACTGGAGCGAGATCCCCGCTGACAAGCGCGACTCCCGCGAGGTGATCAAGGCCGCCGGGGACGCCTACCTCGACATCTTCTCCGACAAGAGCGTCGTCGTGCCGTGGGGACGCCCGTGCTCGCGGCTGGAAGGAGGCGCGTACACGGGGAACGGCGGGCCGAATGACCGGTGCGACGTCGGGATTCCGGACAATGTGAAGCTGGTCAACCGGCGGTATGTGATTGACGAGACGGTGGGCGTGGTGGATATCTTCTTGACCTTTGGGAGCTTGGCGGACAGCCACGAGTTCAGAGTCGAGGGAGGCAAGCTGCGGTTTGTGCACACCATTACGCCCATGGGTGGAAACCCGGGGCCCAGCGTGGGGAAGGGTAAGGGCAAGAAGTCAAGGCGGGCGAGGAAGTGAGTGCTTGCTGGATTGTGTCAAATAGACTGTTTCGGTCAGTGTAGCACATGAGATGGCTTGTCCTGCATTGCCAGAGCTGTGAATTCGCTGTTCCCCTGTTGCTTCAAGTCAGCCGTCACCAAGTGAGAAGCGACAGAGCCTTGGCCATCATGCATCCATTGGGTGCTCATCTCATTGTATTCGCTCTCATAATCCAGTACGCCCTGTGCCACTTTTGCCTCCAACCTGAGCGCCAACAAAAACTCGGCTTCTGCATGGCCGCAGGCCTACTAGAAGATAGTCACGGCTCGTCTTCAACAAAAATCTTTAAAATACCATCCGACATGGCAGATGATTATACCGCATCGGGCAACCTAACAGCAATATCTCCAGACTGCGTAATGTATCGCACCCAAGGAAGTGACGGATATTGAAGCTGCAATGCATTAGCCGTGAGATGAGACAACACTGGAGACAGAAGCGTACCTTTGGTTCTGTAATCTTCAAATACCGTACTTGGATACCGCTGGTGGTGAAGTAGGGGATCTCAAACTTGACCTGGATCGGCCTCTTGGCACCCTTGCCAGGCGCGCCAACACCACCCATGCTGCCGCCAAAGCCGCCCGTCATGCCACCGCCGTGCTCGTCGTCGCCCCTGACACTCGGAAGCCCCAGCTCAGCCCGCATGAGGAACTCCTTGCTGCCGCCAAACTGCTTGATCTTCCACACGATGGCGCTCTGCTCGGGGGCATAATGCACAGATCCAACATTTGTACGGAAGCGCGGGGTGTCGGCGTCGTCGGGAACTGGGACGATAATCTCCACGTTGTTCGCGGTGCTTCGGCGCTTGAACTGTGCCCTCGCCTTAAGCATGTACTCGATGCGCGAACCGCTGTGCGACTCGACCACGCACTCGACCCAGATGAGCGGCTTGACCTGGGTGTTAAGGCGATACGACATGAGCTCGAACTCGCCGTCCGGCGGGATGAAGCTGATGGTGCGGTCGTTCTCGAAGCGCGACAGGCGCACACACTGGTGGAACTTGACATCCTCCATCTCGATGGCCTTCCCTCGTGTTGTCCGCCCCGTTGTCTCAAACATGACCTTGTCGTTCAGCCCAAGGCGCAGCTCGGGCATGCCTGACAGATAACATTTCATCTTGATGGCGCCCAGGATCTCGGATCGCAGCACGTTGCCATTGGAAGATACCAGCAGGTTGAGCGACTCGACGACGTCGAGGAAGACCTCGTTCTTCCGGTACCGGATACCTTCCGAGCGCCACGACACGGCGTTTGTCACAGCGATCGGTGGTCGGGCCTGAACCTCGAGCTTGTGCGACTCCTGGGTGATGTATTCTTGGAGGATCTTGGATTCGGTGGTTTGGGGGTATCCAAAGTCCATCATCTCGTCCAGAAGCTCGTAGATGATGACGAAGTTGTCGCGGATGGATTCTTCCTCAAGCGCCTTGAAGTACTCCGTGAAGACTTCGACGACCTTGTGGAGAAAGAGGAGGATTTCGGCGGCGTTGGTATTCCGTTTTGTGAGCGCGAGCAGGTAGAGGTTGTTGTGCCTGATGTAGAGGTACTGGAGGCGGGCAGCTGTTAGCAAGCGCGCCACAACGCATCAAGACGATAGAGGACTCGTTGTCTGGGGATGGCGGGACATACGTTGATGCCTTCGTGGGAAAAGCAAGGGGGTACGGCGGACGACTCTTCCTCGGCCTCACTCAGGAGAACGGGAAACTTCTCGACAGCAGACATGGGGATGTCGCCCCGGTAGTTCCGCGCGAGCAGCGTCTTCCCCTTGAGGTCGAGAAAGAAGATAGCGGATGCCATGGCTGTGGGTTGTGCTGCGAGCCGCAGCGGGCGCAATGGCAAGGGAGCTCAAGTGTCGGGGCCGGGTGCGGGAGCGGGGAGCTAGGATCGGCGACGGAGGGGAGCACGCAGTCGGGATTCGAAGATTGGGCGCCGAATACCAGGCTCCGGTCGCAGCGCAGCTTCGTCGTTCGCGGGGGGAAACGGAATGCTGGAGCTCCGAGATGCGTCAATCGTGTCGCGAATTTGGTCCTTCAAAGCCGTGCGTCTGCAGTCAGCTACTTGCCGAGATGGATCTATGTGTCGACGGATCTCACCGCACCACTTGTTGACGGGATGACATTGAGGAGCGGCGACAGCGGTGCACGGGCCATCTCAGCTCCCCGCCTGCCTCACGTTGAAACGAAAAGGCGAAAGGCCAAACGTGGCACCGATTCCAGTGGGGTCAAGGCGCTCGAGCCACCTGTCGAGGCAGCACTATATTTACGGCGGAAATTTTTGCTGCTTCGCTTTTTTTTCCTTTTCTCTCCAACGCGTCCACTAGACAGTGCATTACACCCTGCTCACAACTGGACCGGCATTCTGCCGGCTTCGACTCGTGTGGCCCTGGTGATTCTGCGATTTCGAGACGCGGAGAAGAAGGAATTCCTTACGGTGCCATAAGAGCTGGCCGAGCACGTATACGGTTGCTTGGGCGGCGTCAGAGGCACCGGACATTTTTGCACACTTGACATTTGAGATCGCTCCTGTTTCTATTTCTGGCCCACCGCCTGAAGGCAGGCAGGCCAGCCCAGGATTGATGACTGAAGTTACCCGAATGCGATTGCGATTGACGATTTCCTCCAGCCTCCTGCTGGTCCGGGCGTGATGATGAGATCGGCATGGCTTGGTGCGACTACTGGTGGCACTAGCAATTGCTTTCGGAGCTCAAGCTTGCCACTCCTCCCCGCTCCTGGCACTGCTCCCACGTGAACACATTATCAATTTATCAGCGCTGCGCGACCTGGGATGTCCCTCTACGGAGGATCTGATTCCAGTCGCAGTCTCTCCATGCTAAGCAGCCACCGGAGAACTTGGGTCGGTCTGACCGTCAATGCCAGACTGGCTGCGCCGTGAAAAAAAGGATTGAGTAGCTGGAATCGGGATCGCTGGTGGAAATAACCACAGTGGGAAATTTGTCCAGAATTGCAAGTGCGCAGGGAAAGGCTGTCAAGAAGGCAGGTCTTTGGCATGTGATGGCCGTGCCAAGCACGATAAACTGCTGTGCTAAGACCAAAAGCCGAGAAAGCTGAGTGAGAGGGCTCTCTGACAGTCTGACACGTGCTTGCCCATCTTCGGTGTGCGTTTTGGAAACGCACCGGACCAAGACAGGAGACCGTTTTTATCGTTCTTTGGCTCAACGCTTCGCTCCACAGCAGTCAGCGATCGCCCTTGTGAAGGTCAAAGGCATGATGCAAAGTTGTGGACGAGGTCATCGTTTTCGCATCGTCGCATCAGAGTTCCAAGCGCTGGGCTTCCTGGCAGATATTTACCCCGCGAAGTT